AAATACAGCAGTTAGTTTTTGCGATGGGGCTAAATTCCACGCTTCCACAATTAAGAACCCACTTTTAACCTTAAAATGCAGACGGTTGCATTACATATTTTCACTGTAATGGGGTGGGTCGGTCGGGGATAGTTATACAAGAGGATTTTACATTGAAGCAAGACAGATGTGGCTGTCGAACAAAATCATATTAGCACACAGAACACAGTAAACGCCAATACAACTAAATGACTACATATACAGTGTAGTAACAAGATGGAATGGTGCCACGTTCTTCATCTTGTCATACACGCCTTCGAATTATGCAAAAACCACAGACGACCCAAGAAATGAGCAGCATAAAACATAACTGAACAGAATTATTACCCTAATGGATAAATATGCTACGCGCAATTATGACAAATCGCATATTAAAAGTAAACAGCTTTACATATGGCAGTAACTTAATGAAATATTTAATACGTCTGTGTTTCTACAACTTCTACATCATTACATACAAGCATTAGCTTTCCTCTACGAGTTTCGGTCCCTTGTAATCCGTCGATAAGTGTTTGTACGTTGTACAAATTCCAAGTGCGCCAGCCATAGGAAACATAAACAGCGCTAGGTAACCGAATTGCATCTGCGTATAAATGTGTTTAAATAGTAAAAGACTTACTGCTTTCGACATCCGCTTCGGATTACGTATAACAATGGGTTGATATGACCTCGAAAACTTTAGCAAGGTGCTAGGAATCCTCTTCATCTTAGGTAAAACTAACAGTTGCACTTCGCGCCAGATCGTTTTCTAACTTCAAAATCCAATGTCAACCCCATGCATACCGTTAGTCATAGGACACCTCAAACTAATATCAGACCCTTCCATTTGATGAAAGGTGATAATTCGACTTTACTTAAGCAGTAAATAATTTCGCACATCACAAACATTTAAAATAGGGTGCTATGTTCACTAGTTAACCTGAAAGCATGCAGTCGAATGTCGCCCTTTCTTAATATCTGTTTGTTCGTGAAAGACCTCCAGTTATTTGGACATGCACCTCTTTCTAATAACCTCGAACACTAAATTCATACAACGTATTCCAATGAAAGTTAAAGAGGAAGAGAGATCAAAGGAAGCATTTATTTTTCTATTCCACTCTTGATAAAGTTGGCTGAGAGCACAGGTGCCACTTCTGCTGCTGTTGCGCCTCTGGAGTAAATCAACACTGCGCTAAAAAGATCTGGTTAAGCCATGATTATTGAAGCCTGTAACGGTAAATAATTCCCCAAAATTATTGACCACAGCAATCATCACTGAACATTGGATGCTTACCCTCACTGTTTAAGTCAACTTGTTTAGCTGAAGGCTTCCGGTCAAGCACCCATGCCATTCGGTACTCCGTCGTGTCACTTGCGTGCACGATCACTAGCCAGTTAAGCATTCATCTCGGTCTAAGATTTGGTCCCGAAATATATTTCGTAGTTTGGACAACTAAATCTGGTCTTTTGCTTTGCCTTTGGTCCGCGAGGAACGAATACTATAGAAGTTGTTGGTATTAGATCTTGCGTTAGTATACTCCGTACAATTCGCGAACGTCGATACCGTCGGCCTCTACAACTTCATGTAAGCTGGATATCCGTTTAATCTCCAAAAGACATTACTAGAAACAGACATTCGCATGAAAATAATTACTCAAATTAGATACTGGCAATTTGTAATTTTTGCAGAATATAAATCGTGTTTTTAAAGCTACATTTTTAAAAGCTCAGTAGAGTGTTAGTGAAGCGTGAATCCCCGGTAAAACGAGTCGAAGCAGTATTTACTGTTCAGTAGGTAAAAGAAGCCTTAAAAATCATAAGAAATACATAGTCCCTACTTGGTTACTCGTCCCATCCATCTGAGTTCCTCAATCATTCACTAACCCTGAGTTGCAGAAGGCCCACATCAGCCTACCATATAAATGAATTTTCCAAGAATGTGGGTTCTGTTAGCCCAACTTCAAGAGCTATGTCCAGGGTTCTCCGTCGAGTACACTTGGGGGTTTTGACGACAGATGGCGAATTTCCCCGACCTAAAGATGCCGAATATGCGTAGGACAACTACTTGGGGCCAGGTATTGGCACGAATAAATAAATAAATAAATAAATTTATTCTCATAGTACAGTACATGAGGGACGCCAGTTTACAGGCATCATCAAATTGTTACAGAAATAGAACCATATAATTTAATCACAATTTACAGCCAGTAGCAAGATATGCTTTACATGTTCGATAGAGATTATACATACACTTGATAAATGTTAATTCCAGTAGTATAAAACAGCCTTTTCACTTATATACAATCATTTCTGTGCAAAGTTGGAAAAATCTGCTAGATTGTCAGTGAGTGCAACACAACAGGAAATACAGGAGTATTGTCTTCGCATTAACAAAAAAACCAGGTCTTTGGTGGATGGATTATAGGTGCCTGGGAAAAAAATAAAGCTTGAAGTAAATATTCATACATA